CACTTAGCTTGTGGTATTTTCACGCTTCTTGATTTCTTTCCCATCCATTTGAGGCCTGTTACTCAAGTCTGTTTTGTGTGTATTTATTTTTTCCTGTGTTATAGTGTTTTTTCATGGGAAGGTAGTGAATATCAACTTTGAAATTTCATAATTTGGTCACCTTGATACATGAATGTTATGAATGTTATGGTCATATTGGTATACACATTGGTATTTTCAGTCATCCTAGTTCATAATTTTTTTTATATGTCATTTAATTAAATTGATGACACGACATTATTAGAATTAAATTTGACCAGTCATAGGCCAAGCCAAATACCCGCCAACCCAATCATATGTAACTTGTCATATGGCAGGTAAGATAATCGGTTCAGTAGGGTGGCCTTTGATTTCCAAATACCTTTGGTAATGCTAGAAATTGAAGTATTGGCATTATTATCATAGTTGAATGCATCTTGACTTCTTTCATCTTTTTGGTTTCTCTATTATATATCGAAAAAATGAAAACAATGATAACTAACATGGCAAGCGCCCAAGCTGTCAGCCTTCGGGATTTTGTCCATGATTTGGGCCTCCATGACCCGGGATTTCAAGGGGATCAATTTACTTGGACAAACAAACGTATGGGTGCGGCGTGTATTCGGGAGCGTCTGGATAGGGCTCTTTGTTCCCAATCCTGGATTGATGAGTATCCAGAGACTCTGGTCAAGCACTTTACGGACCAGGGGTCGGATCATCGGGCGTTGTTGCTCGCAGACAAGCCGTATGCCCGGAATAGTCGACCCTTATTCCGTTTTGATGCCCGATGGGAGGATAATCCTGAATTGAGGGCTATGGTCCAGTATGTCTGGCAGGAAGAGATTCAAGGTACCCCTATGTTTCGACTTTGGGAGAAATTAAAGAAACTCCGCCATCTGCTTTATGATTGGAGCAGGGCGGGTACAACGAATTCTCTACGGAATATTAAGACTCTCCAGGCGGAGGTGGAGAGAATAAAATCAGTACATCCGGTGGATGGGGATGAGATCAGGACCTTGGAAAGAGAGCTATCCCGCCAGTGGGAAGCGAAAGAGATTTTCTGGCAACAGAAATCAAGGGTAAAATGGTTAAAGAAAGGAGATCAAAATTCTGCCTACTTCCATACAGTCACAAGGGCGCGGCGGAAGAGGAACTTTGTTTCCGAACTTCGTAATGAGGAGGGTGAATGGATCACTGAAGAGGCCGGGAAGGATGCCATTGCCACAAATTTTTACCAGACCCTGTTTACTTTAGAGTCCCAGGTCCCTAATATGGCTGAGAGGGTGGCGAGCCTGCCGATTGCCCATAGTGTTACTCCGCAAATGAATGTGCAGTTGACGGCGGAGGTTTTACCGAGTGAGGTGCGGCAAACGGTCTTTGCCATGGGTCTAAGCAGGCTCCGGGTCGGATGGTTTCACTGGGAAGTTCTTTAAAGCTTTCTGGGATATTGTTGGCACTTTGGTGGTTGACGCAGTAATCTCTTTCTTTACGTCGAGTCGGATGCTGCAGAGTTTTAACCATACTTGGCTCACTTTGATCCCTAAAGTGGATTCGGTGGAAACAATAAGGCAATTGCGACCGATTAGCCTCTGCCAGTTTGTTTACAAGGTGATTACCAAAATCATGGCTGAACGACTGGCTAGCTTGCTCCCTCAGATCGTTTCGGAGGGGCAGAATGGTTTTATCATAGACCGGCAGATTATTGATAACATCCTTGTAGGACATGAATTAATGCACTATCTGAAGATAAAAAAGCAAGGGAAGAAGGGGTACATGGCTCTGAAGGTTGACATGGAAAAGGCCTATGATAGAGTCGAATGGCCCTTCCTTCTTGTAGTTTTGGATAAGATGGGGTTTAATTCGGTCTGGCAGGGATGGACTCTTGAATGTCTCTGATCCTCCTCTTTTTCGGTTCTGGTGAACGGCACGCCCTCGGGTTATTTTACTGCCTCTAGGGGCCTTCGCCAGGGGGATCCGCTCTCGCCTCTCTTGTTTTTGCTCTACACGGAGGGTTTTGCAGCCCTTCTCCGGAAGGCGATCACGGAGAATAAATTAGAGGGTGTGAAAGTGGCGCCCCGGGCACCTCGAGTCTCGCACTTGTTCTTCGCAGATGATTCTTACCTTTTCTTGCCAGGGTCTCTTCAAGAGTGCGAGAATTTAATTGAGGTGCTCAATGAGTATGAGGAGTCGAGTGGCCAACGCGTTAACTTAGCGAAATCAGCGGTGTGTTTTAGCAAGAATATCTCCACGCCCGATCAGGAATTTTTGGCAACGATCCTTGGGGTTGGTGTTGTGGGAGTTCATGACAAATATCTGGGACTTCCCACGCTGGTCGCTCGATCCAAAATGGCTACCTTCAGATATTTGGAGGATAAACTCTTAGAGAGACTTCAGGGGTGGAAGCAAAGGATGTTATCGTGGGCTGCGAAGGAAACTTTGATTAAATGCATCGCATTGGCCCTGCCCCTGCATGTTATGTCCTGTTTTCGGCTTCCCCTAGCTCTTTGTCGGCTCCTTGATAAACATGTGGCCCGCTTTTGGTGGGGTGTTGAAGAGGGCAGTCCAAGATTAGATGGGTATCCTGGCGTAACATGTGCAGAAGTAAGCATGAGGGGGGGATGGGGTTTCGCCAGTTTGAACATTTCAATCAAGCTCTTCTGGCTAAGATAGGTTGGCGTATCCTTAGTGAACCTCAGTCGCTCATTGCCCAGATTTATAAAGGCAAGTACTTCCCTCAAGGATCCTTTCTGACCGCGGCTGCTAGGTCTCGTCCCTCTTGGGGGTGGCAGAGTATCCTTCATGGACGTCAATTATTGGAGATGGGCTTGAGATGGCAAGTTGGCAATGGCAAATCGATGTCCCTTCTTCATTCGAACTGGACCCTCAGTTCCAACTAGACCCCCCTTGCTATAATCCGCGGGTTTTGCCTGAAGGGGGTGATCCTTTGGTGGCCGAGGTTATTTGTCAGGGGGAAGGAAGGTGGTATGATGAGAAGCTCCGTCAGTGGTTTGCCCCGCACACCTGTAAGGCTATCAAAGCTATTCCGCTTCCGTGGTGGGAGGTACCTGATAAAATTATCTGGCATTTTACGGCTGATGGGGTTTTCTCGGTAAAGTTGGCTTATCATTTGGCAGTAAATTTGGATAGGAGGAGGGGTGCGTGGCGATCCTCGGTTAGCTGGATGGATAAACCAAGTTGGATAAGAGTGTGGGAGGCAAAGATACCTCCGAAGAGTATGGCAAATCCTTAATCGGGCTCTGCCGACTATGGAGGCGCTTATTGAGAAGAAGGTTCGGGTACTTCCCCGGTGTCCAGTTTATTGGGATAGCCCGGAGACTATGGAACATCTGTTCCTGTACTGTCCGGTTGCGCGGGCTCTCTGGGACTACTCAGGGCTGGAATACCTAGGGGAGGGTTTGCCTCGACACACTTTTCCTTTGTTTCTCAAGCGTTTGTTGGGTCTGATTTCTCAACCGTCCGTGGTTATGGCTGTTGTTGCCATCCTTTGGAGGATCTGGCGTTCTCGGAATTGGGTTGTTTTTTAGGGCAAACAATTCTGGATTCCGGCACTCATGCGGCAGTTTCACCAATAGTATGAGGAATGGGTGTCTCTCCCAGTGGATCAGGTTCCGAGGATGACTGTCCCGAGGATGCAACCAGCAGCGCAACCGGGTGATTCCCAGGTGGTATGCAGGTGGGACGGGGCTAAGAAGGGTGGGTCGCATTCGGCTGGTGGGATGGTTCTCCTTGGCTCAGAGCGGACACTCCTTCTGGCTAGAGGGGTTCAGTTTCCTCAAGTGGATGACCCGATGATGGTAGAATTGCTTGTGTTTAGATAAGCTATTGTTTGGTGTATGGAGCAAGGATTGGCGGAGGTCCGATTTGAGGGCGATGCAAAGGTCATTATTGACAAAATTAATCAAGCCATCATGAGAGATAGCCGGTTGGGTGCTGTTCTAGAAGAGATTGGTCATTACTTTCGTACCCAGTTTGGTTTTAGTGTGCGGTTTGTAGGTCGTGAGAACAATAGGGTAGCTCATTTGGTAACTAGGAAAGCCCTTTCATTGTATCCGACTATGAGTCGCTTCTTTGATTTCCAGTCCTGGCTGGTTTCCAGGGTGTAATTGTCTATGTTTGATCAATACAAGATATCTTTTGGCAAAAAAAAAAAAACATGGCAAATTTTAACTCTAATTAGTGCTATGTCATTAACTCTATTATTCATTAAAAAAAAGTTGATACACAAAAATACTAAATATACTAATTTGTGTATAGATATGACCAAATTAAGAAAATTTAAATGTCAAATTGATCTTCTTTCCTTTTTGGCTTTTTCATTAAAGTGTGAAGGTAGTGAGGTTTGCAAACAGCAAAAGTTCAGGAACTTCCTACCCAAATAAAAATTTCAGGAACTTGCTCGGTAAAAGCAGCAAAGCTTAGGGGCATGAATGGTAAATAATCCTTACTAATTATTTATATCCGTAAATGATTAAATCAAGGTTGTCAACCCGTAGGTCGACCCACTTTGATCTTGGCCCGGTGAGAAAAATGGGTCGACCGCTATAAGGTATCGAGTTAGAGGTCAAATTGTGTCATTTTTGTCTTTGGTTTGCGAAATGCGCCTATTTTCCGATTTTTCTTTTCGCCTAACTTAATCTTTAGAATTCTAAGTTGAACATTTGAATATTGATATTATATAAGTGTGTGTGAATTTTCACTATATGTTAAATCTAAGTACAACATGTTATTTTGGTGTAATTGTATATATTATAACTCATATGTTAGATTATATTTGATATAATTTATGAGGATAAGTACAATATAATGATTATTTCCATATTTCCGAGCTAAACTGGGTGAACCATTAACTCTTGAACCACTAGCTCGATCGGGTACTGGTCAGCACGCCGGTTGACAACCTTGGATTAAATACAATAGGGATTGACCTTGGAGCTTTTCATTTCCATTTCTACCCATCCCCAACGCGCGGCCGGAATCTCTCGTCAGGCTGCGGCACCGAAGGCAAACCAATTGTACGACCATGGTCGGCGGCAGCTGTCCCACATGCAAGAAGAAAGCTCGTCACCAGATCGATAGGTTCAGCGAACTCCCCGAACACATCCTCCGCCGCGTTCTCTCCTTGGTCGACTCCAAAACCGCCGTCCAAACGAGCCTCCTCTCCCGGCGTTGGAGATCCGTCTGGAAAGGCGTTCCCACCCTCAATCTCTACTCAAAATCCTTCAAGACCCACTTTAGATTCCATCAGTTCATCTCCGAAACCCTCTCCCGCCGTTACGCCACCGCAATCGAACAAATCAGCTTGGAAATTGGGTACCCAAATGGCGATGAGGATGAAATTGATGACAGTGATGATGATATCGACCTACCCGTCGGGGCCACCCGATATCGGAGGCTCTTCAGTTACGCGGCGTCCCGCGGTGGGATCCAACGCTTGCGCCTCGTCCATTGTGGGTACAGAGGAGAGATCTGGAATCATTTCGTCCGAAGCCGTTCCCCTGCTGCTTTCGGAGTGCTTGCTACTCTGCATCTGGAGGGCTGCAAGGCGTATTGTTTCCCCTCGCTGAAATGGAGCCCCATCGCCGTTCGGGTCGACCCGTTCGCGGATTTCCCCAACCTGAGGGATCTAACCCTAAAGAATTGCTCCTGGGCGATTGATGGTGGCGACGGGGAGGAAGATGATGGTTATTACTCCATCTGCTTGAGAGTCTCTGGGATCCAATTGCGGAATCTCAGGATGGAGAGTCTATACTCCGTGTCCAAGTTCGAAATATTTGCACCGAATCTCGAGTCATTCTACTTTACGGGTCAGCTGAGGGGCCCGGAGTTTGTGGAGTTGCAGCATATGCTTTGCCTTGACCTGGCCTGTATCCGAATCTCTGGGTATCGTGATCTCGATATTCCGGAGAATCGGGATGATTCTGATTCTGATTCTGATGTTAATGCTGAACTTGTTCCGGTGGATCTCGCGGCCCGGAGGTTCAAGAACTTGTTCCAAGGATTGCACAGTGCAAGAACACTTGAACTACATTTGAATACCTTCAAGGTAATCTGAATCAAAGTCAGTAGTCAGTATTAATGATCGTGTCATTGTGATGAATTGGCTGTTAAATGTTTTGAGTATTCGTGCATATTTTGCTTTTGCTTTATTCTGTTGTCGATGTTGTTGTTGCTGTCTAGATACTTGAAAGGATTCAAGAATCGAACGCATTCCAGACTTCTCCTTTTACTCGATTGAAGACCCTGATCATCAATGTAGAGTATAAGCTACAATCATTTGACATGCCTTATCTTATATCACAATACTTTCTCGGGAATTCAACCAACAAAGAAGTGAAGTCTACCAAGTTTAAGGTGACATCCTCCTAAGCCCAAGGTGAGTGTCTCTTTCCCATTTTTCAGGTATTGTAGAAGTATCGATTAGATCGATCGAAACTAACCGAGCACCATCACTCTCATGATGACCTGATGTCTGATGATGTTCATGGGAAAACATTGTATTTGTCTACCTTATACTGGTGTAGGCGACTCGGATAAGGCGCAAATCGCTACGCTACTGAATGACAACATATGGATGAAGGAGCAGATTAAGTTGGAGTGTCATTATATGCCTTGAATCACTTGCCTTCCTATGGACCTGCCTATGTATAGAAGTTGGGAAGCCGGTGAGGAGCACAATGTAAGAAGCATAGTGCACAACTGATTCCTTGATCCTTCTTACTTGCTTATTCTGAGAACATAAACACTATTATCCAGAAAAGATGTCCACTTCATTTCTGTGCAAAACTTTTCACTCACCACTTGTTTGTGTTAAATGTCCAAGACTTCAGTGTACTGGTTGGAAATACATTCGTCGGATTTCTTATACTGCAGTGAATGTGTATATGCATAGTTAGTGGTTTTTGTTGTCCCCCCTTCACAGAATCGGAGGAGTTGGATAAATGAAAATAAAGGGGAACTCAGCCATAGCCAATGAGAAGCACAGGTCAAATTTCGAGCTCCTCTTCTGACTTGGTGGCGAAGTCCCGACTCGTCCAGACCCTCAATTAAAATAGTAGAAGTCGGAGGCTGTCTGCTGTTCATCCTAATTGAATTTCCAGTCGGAATCGACACCGGTGGCAATAACTCCGGCGAATGAGGCAGTGTGGCGGTAGTGATGGCAATGGGGCGAGCGGGTACCTCAATACCCATGTCCTGTCATATGCTACTACGGTTCGGGGCGGGAAAATCCGTGCGGGTACGGGGAGGGACGGGACTAAGGATGTCAATCCAACCCGTAATCATGGGTACCCTACCCGACCGTAACCGGTCAACGAGTATAATTACCCGCTTTGACAAAGTTAGTCATTTCTTACTTTTTATTTAGAAACTCCATTCAACTCAAACTTGACTTTTCAATGTTTTCAGGTCACTCTTGTCTCACTCAATCCTAGTTATTGTCATAGCGTAAATCAAAGAACGAACACTCCTATAGGTTTATTAGTTCTCTCCGACTTCAATCCATCAAATCAAATATTGCCGATGACAAAAAAAATTAGATATCATCATCTCCCTTCTGCTTATCCTTGCCTTAAATTTTGCCTTAAATTTTGGAACTTAATGAAGACTTTGATGACCGCGAGATGTAGAGGAGCTAAATCGCTCAAATCTAACTTTTCAATGAAGTGGGAAGTAGAGTGATCTTAGAAAAAATCTCAAAGTACACTAGTTATTAAAAAAAATTCTCAAAATACATAAGTTATAAAAAAAATTCCAAAAGTACACATGTTTGAGCATCACCGTTTTAGACAAAGGCGGTGAAGGATATCACCGCGTCAGACTAAAACGGTGAAAAATTCACCGTCTTAAAGTAAAACGGTGATGCCTTCACCGTCTTAGTCTAAAACGGTGAATGTCTCACCATTTTAAACTGAAACGGTGAAAGAATCACCGTTTTAATTAAAAACGGTGAGCAGTTCACCGTTTTTCTAGGATGCGGTGAAGTTGCTGACGTGGCAGACACGGGGTATTCACCGCGTTAGACAAACACGGTGAATAACCCGTGTCTGCCACGTCAGCGATCCGCGCCAGTGTGCTTTCACCGTGGCCGTTAGATGCGGTGAGGCGCGGATCGTGGTTTTCTTCCCACGATCCGACGCCTCACAGCAAGCCACGTGGACGGGGAACAGGTTTTGGGCAATGCCAGTCCTTCACCGCGTTCATCAAACGCGGTGAATGCTCCCCCACATTTACTGCGCAGCAGCTCCTCCCCCCCTTCCCCCAACTATAAATACCCCCTTCCCCTTTCACTTTCAACTCACCCCACAAACATTTCACTTCTTTCTCCCTCAATTTATCCGCTCTAGTCTCGTTCTATGTATGCTCTGTGGTTGCGGCTAAGTCCGATCTTCCACATCAGAAAGAATTACTAGAGTTTGACCCTAAAGCCCCCGTCCCGCTAAGTTCCCGTCCCTTACAAAGCTAAACCCGTCGAACCTCTGTCCGGCTTCCGCCAATAATGGACGAAGAGGCTCTTCGTGTAGGTTTTTGGTTTGTGATTTTTTTAATCGAAACAATTTGATTTTTTTTTTATCAAAACAATCTCTGATTTCATTACTTTTTTATAGATGGGTGCCGAGATATACGATCCTCGATTGTATATCCATTATGGCCCAAGGGATGCGAGTCTCTTAACCGATCAAGAAATGCATCGCTCTCGTGCCATTTGGGATAACAATCCGGTAATTTGATGAACTGACTTGCTTTATTTTATTATTTTCTAATGTTTTATTTTGCTTTATTTAATCTAATAAATTGATGTTTTTCCTTTTTTTTTTTAGGAATCTCTTGTTCCCGTGGTTCATAAAGGGACCAATAACTTGCCCGCTTGGAATCCAAGGTTGGAGCCCTATATAGCGAGGACCGGTTTGGGAATGTTGCGCCATTTCTTGCGGATCGAGATCGACAACGATCTGCTTACGGCAATGGCGGAACGATGGCGTCCGGAAACCCATACATTTCACCTTGCGGAGGGGGAAATGACGATCACCCTCAAAGACGTGGCGATCCTCACCGGGCTTCCTATATCTGGAGATGCCATCATTGGGAACACGACCAAACCCGGAGGAGGTTGGGGGCCGCTCATCCGTGATCGTTTGGGCTTCGACATGCCGACCACCACACCAAATCAAGGACGGGGGCATCCACCGTTGAATGCGGGGCAAGTGTCGGTCCCGTGGCTGGTATCTCACATCCAGCAAGAGGTGGAAATCAATGACGAGACACCGGAAGAACAAGTCGAGCGCTACGCCCGCATCTACCTCATCGATTTGGTGGGTGGATTTTTGTTCCCCGACAAGTCCAACCGGTGGATTCAAGGCATATGGTTGCCATTGCTCACCGGTGACTGGGATGCAATTGGAGAGAAGAGTTGGGGATCGGCCGTGCTAGCGGGCGTATACCGGGAGCTGTGTACTTGCTCGAAGGTTGGGGCAAAGCAAGCTGGTGCTGCGATGTTCATCGTTCAACTGTGGGTATGGGAGCATCTTCCAATGTTCGCACCTCTCGACCCACGTCCATACCGGAGAAACGATGATGAGCTCAACCTTCTGCAAAATCTCCCCTACGGTGTCAAGTAAGTTTATTCCGTACTTAGCCCAATTTAAATTTTATTACATGCTTGAGCTAGATTTAAATTGAATTTATTCCGTACTTAGCCCAATTTAAATTTTGATTACATGCTTGAGCTAGATTTAAATTGAATTTATTCCGTACTTAGCCCAATTTAATTTTGATTACATGCTTAACTAGATTTAAATTGAATTTAAATTGATTCCGTACTTTTACTTACAAGGTGGATAGGAGCAAATACGAATGACCATCAGCCTGAGCATTCGTTACTGTTTTATCGTTCTGAGTTAGATAAACCATGGTGGAATCAGGTAATCATGTTTTGTCCATATTTGAACAAGATCAATTTTTTCAAAGTAAATGGTCGTTAATTCCGAATTTTTGAATGAATATAGGTTATATGGGATCCATATCCACGTGAAGTGGTTGAGCTGCATCATCTTAGGCACCCTCTGGATCACGAGACGTGGTTGTGCAAGGTGCCATTGATCTGCTGGCACATTGTGGAATGGCACCTACCCGATCGATCCCTGAGGCAATATCGAATGGAGCAACCAATTCCACAAGACCCGCCAGTAGGTTTCAGGGAGCTACATGCTATGGACCTCCGAAACAATGCAAACTGGACGCTAAAACATGGATTCTACATCAACATCTGGGAGAATCGATCCCAATGGGTGGTGCAAGGGATGCCGGAGACGAGACCGATGGGCTACCACGATGGGTACATGCAGTGGTATCGGAAGTTCACCCTGAGATGGGTGTCAAAGCAAGGTGCTGTGATGGGTTCGTTGGTAAGTCATCCTAATCTCCCTCATTCTAAAATATATTTATTTTAAGGTTTAGTTAATTTGATATATTTTGTGCTTTCCTTAGGTTGATGGTTTGGAACACGCGAAGTACACTCTCGAAAGTGCTCCAACCATGGATGAGCGGAAGACTACTTGGTTGACCCGACTTATGAGAAACCTCCTAAGTTGCACCAGAGAGCAAAGGAGGGATGTCGTGGCCTATCCTCCCGTTCCTGCCCCGGCACGACCCTCATTCCGTGATGATGCAGCCATTGTGCCCCCGGTTGAGCCCCCACGAAGGAGCAAACGCAGGCCTTTGCCTACGTTCGAAGAGGTGCGTACCACTCAAGCAACCGAGCTCCCCGAACCGTTCGAGTACCAGTGGGCACCTGCAGCGGATGCCGGTGGAGGGTCATCGAGTCGTGGAGGATCTCAGGAATGGGACACTTTCTCTCATGGGTTCTCTCAATTCCAACATCAGCAACAAAGTTCGATGTTTCAGACCCCGCAACAACAAACTCCGATCATTCGTCAAGCTACCGCTCCAACTCAGCCACCACCACCACCATATGTAACCCCAGTTGGGGCTCGGGTCAAGAGAAATCCGCGACCAGCCGTTGAGCGAGCCCGCCAAGAAGCAGCGGCGGAGGAGGGAAGAAGGGGTCGAGGACGTCGTGGAGGACGAGGAGGAAGAGGTGGAGATGGGGGCCAAAATGAAGCAAATGAGTGAATTTATCGTTTTATCATTGTAGTGAACTATCAATGTTGTTTTTGTGATTTTTAGGTGTTGTTATTTGAGTTTGCATTGTCTAAAAACTATCATACGCACTTAAGTTGTCGAATGAATTTTCTGGATCATTTTATCAAGAATCAGTATCTTCCCTCAACACAAAAAAGTTGGGAAAATCAACCACGATCGCATAGAATTTTACAGATCCCAATTCCGAGTCCAAACGAGTGAGATAAGTGACGTCAAAGCGTTATCATATTCCCAATTTAATTTTTGCGTACTATAAACTAAAACGCCCGTATCTTATTCGTTTGAGGTCGAAATAACGAGCCGTTTGCGGCCGCGCGATCGTATCGACAAGGAAAACTTTTTAGATTTAACAAAATACTTGGACTTCAAATGCAAACGGTAATGAAAAATTAAACAAGCTATGAATTTAGTAGCAGAATACAAGTAAATGCAAATTAAGTTGATGGTTGTCCTGGGCAACGCCTCTTGTCGTGACCAGGTTGTCTACACTTAGAGCATCGCTTCGGTCCCCTTCTCGTCCGTTCAACTTGATCCATCTCATTGTGTATCCTTTCAACTCTAGGACGGCCTTTTGGTGCTTGCATATGACATGTAGTTGTTTACTGTCAGAATATTTTACCTTCCACTCGAAATTGCGCCTCAACGCCTCTTCTGTAAAAGCATCCTGCACAGCGTCCTTCGATGTGAACGCCATACCCACCTCCAAATTGGCTGTCGGATTGTACACTGGCATAGGGACAAAGTCGATGGGATCATTCTGACTATGTAAAAATTGAGTTGGAACCTGTGTGTAATATGGCGTGGGTGCCTCACGAAATGCCGCCTCATCCTCGTTATCATCAGTATCTTCCTCCTCCTCGCTCACTGATATCAAATCTTCCTCAGTATCCTCGTCGCTCGACTCGAATGGATAGCTCGGGCTAGAAAGATCAACATGACCACGATCACCAACATCGTCCTCTCGCTCATGTGAAGTACGACCTGATCGAATGGTATTCTCGATTCCATACCACTCTGGCCCCCAAGCAGGCCATTGAACTCCATCGGCCTCAACAAATGGGGCTGGTTTAGGAGGTTGCGAGTATTGGTCCCATCCTGCACTACTCGATCCACCGTAGTTGATTGAACCACCACCCTCCCCGTAACCTCCTGTATAACCACCGCCTTGGTAGTTGCTCGAACTACCACCCCATTCGTACCCTCCTGCAAAACCATCATCATAAGAATACTGGTGAGAATGAGATTCACTGAGCGCCTCGGTCTCAACATATACCTCTGCAAGCCGGACTTGGTTATCGCTTAGGAATTGTAACATCATCATAACCGCGTCATCATCGTTTATGACAACTTCTTGGAACACGACCCCGCCAGCACTCATGTCTGGATACCGGTAAGTAATTTTGCCAAGTCTCGTCTGTCCGCTCGTACAAACCCTTTCTGCACAAAGATCACAGAGTTCTTGAAAATTGAATCGGGATTCAATTTTCAGCATAATGGATTCGCCGTCCTCATAATCAATGCCTATGTCAGAGTTTGTCACCCTTCCATTCCACCGAATAGTAAGATGAAACTTCTTGAATTTACCCATATCTACAATTTACAATAAGTATCTATTAGCTTAAAGACAGTAAAATTAACCAATATCATATTGTACAACTAATATTAAATCATACCATAACTAACGAAAATAAATTCAACTAACTAACAACAACATAATACGAAAATTAAATCATACTATAACTAACGAACATAAGTTCAACTAACTAACAACAACATAATACGAAAATTAAATCATACTATAACTAACGAACATAAGTTCAACTAACTAACAACAACATAATACGAAAATTAAATCATACTATAACTACTAAAAACATAATTAGACTATAATACGAAAAGTCTCAACATACCGAAAAATTTCTGTTCTGTGTATTATGCTCGATTTTGGCTGCTGAAATTTGAAGAAAGGGGAGTGGTTATGTTCTTACAACTGCTGGTGGTGTGGAATTTATAGGAAAATCTGCCAACTATTCATCGTTTTTGTCGAAAACGGTGAACACTATCACCGCGTTTGTCTCAAACGGTGAATAGGTGGTAGCTGCGACCTAATTTTGACCTACCAGGGGTGGGAAACGTGGGAAAAATCACCGCGTTGATCGACAACGATGAATGGTTTCACCGCGTTTGACCAAAACGGTGATGTATTCACCGTTGTTAACTAACGCGGTGAATACTTCACCGTTTTAGTTTGAAACGGTGAATACTTCACCGTTTTTGTTTAGGACGATGAAGCATTCACCGTTTTAGACAAACGCGGTGATAATCTTCACCGCGTTTGTCTAAAACGGTGATGCTCAAACATGTGTACTTTGGGAAATTTTTTTATAACTCATGTATTTTGGGAATTTTTTTTAAGAATGTGTGTACAGTGGGATTTTTTCCTTATTACTTACTAGTATAGTCATAAAGGAATTTTTTAGAAATTATATATAGAAAGCAAGTACCATATATTTTTAAATGATTCATGCACAAATAATTGGTTGAGTCTGAGTTTTGCTATATTCCGCTGAAAGAAGAGAGACCTATAGTCTTCTGACAGTAGAAGTGGGCATCATGTGCATAAAAAGATATTGCATTACAACACCAACATCTTAGAAAGGATCATAATCAGCCCACACACCAAAAACTGGACACAGGACATGCAGGAAGAGTTGACAGGAAACCTCAAACTCGGTGTAGATCACCATATAAGTGCAACAGATGACCAAAAGAACACATGTAAATAAGATTTTTTTTGTTTTGTTTTGTTTGCATTAATTAGGAGGAGGATCGATTATCTTTGAACAAAGAAGCAAAGAGAAACAAAGCAAGGGAGTATGACGTAGAATGAAATGTGGTAGAATACCTCGATGACTATTACACACAATTAGTTTACGCCTGAATTACACGTTTGGTCACTTGAATTACATAAATATTTCACGTTTGCCAGCAAATTACTTTTCTTTCATATTAGCCATTAACTTTACTATTCGTTTCACCGTTAGTCACCCTCTGTCGGACTCCGTTAACGCTAGGCCTGTCAATTCGGTTTCGGGTTAACCCGAACTGATATACACATTGCCGGTTTCGAGTTTTATCGGGTTCAACCCGATATGTAGTGCATCGGTTTCGAATTACTAAAACCCGCAAAACCGAAAACAACCCGCAAAACCCGGAAGCTTATCAAGCATCACACTGTCGTTTTGACTTTTGAGAGCAACCCTAGCCTTCAGCCCTTCACCTCGTGTAGTCGCCGTCTCTTCGTCTTTGGCAAACCTAAACGAAACAGAGACTCCTCGCCGCCATCATCGTCCACGCCGCTAGCGGCCTCGTGAGGACCTCCTACTGCCATCAAATCCGTCGCCGGCCGCCACCATCAACTTCCTTGCACTATGTTGGAGGGTTCTAGCCTTTGACAGAGAGGAATCTGCTTCACCACCATCAACTTCACTCTTCGCCTCGCGAAAAGGAGAGGCGACGTCGGGAAACAGAGCATCCCTTCTCAACACCAAATCGGAATCTTCCCCTGTTATTCTGTTCCTCGTCGGCCGCATCTGGGTTTCTATTCCTAGTGAGTGTTTGAACAATTCTTCTATTGCTCCAATTTGTTATTGGGTTCTTCTTATGGTAGCTAATTTTTTGGGGTTTTTGTTACTGGATTCCTCTATTTGTCGGCGACCAGATGGCAACTCGCTGATCCACCCATCGACGACGAAGAGACAGAAGCAGACGACAGGGTGCAGAAGTGGAGATTGGCGATTTCACGAGCAACTTCTCTAGGTTCGAAGCTTCTGCCTTTTGCTCACATTCTAAATCACCGTACAAAACAGCAGCAAGCTGTTGTTCTGTTCCCAGACCTCACATATGGAATCCAAGTAAGCTCCTTTTTCATTCAACTTGGTATTACTCAATGGTTGGAATTGCAATTTAGGGGTCGTTTGGAAGTTGCGTATCTTAAATCGTTGTATTGTTATGAATCACTATGATATAAATGCATGCATTGATACAATAGATGCATTTTGAAATTACATTGTTTGATTGTTGAGATTATAATTTATGAATTGATTGTTATAAAGTTACTTTATAAGGAAATGTCATATTTGTCCTCCACTTTTAATATAAAACAAAAAGAACTATGGACATAATTGGAAAAAGTAAATGTGCTCAATTATTAAACCAACAATCTCAACTTTTAGTTGAGATTGTACAATCCATCATTTTTGTTGATTGTTGGTGGGACCCACACAAAACAATACATGCATTGTTTTGCAACTTGACACTTCCAAACGTTGTATTGTGGACAATGCATGTATTTAACAAATACAATGCTAACAATCACAACTTCCAAACGACCCCTTAGTAATTTACCCTTTGATGCTACTACCTTCATTAGAAATCGGACAGGGATGGAGCTAGAGCTAGATGATTCCTTTAACAAGGATTAACCAACTTTTAACCCCCATTTTTGTTTCTTAGTTGACCCATGCCTAGCTCCTTTCTACACGAATATATATGACATAAACTTGGTACGTATTACTCGGTGGTTGGAATTGCAATTTAGTAATTTACCCTTTGATGCTACTACCTTCATTAGAAATCGAACAGGGATGGAGCTAGAGCTAGATGATTCCTTTAACAAGGATTAACCAACTTTTAACCCACATTTTTGTTTCTTAGTAGCCAAGTAGAGGAGCAGTAGCCCCATTTTTGTTTTTGTTTGGTTCATGATTTTGAGTTGGCCAAATACCAGGGTTTTGTACTCATTTGCAGACTGGTGTTGGTGTGCTCTCAAGCTCCAAGAACTCCTACTATGATAAGACTTTTTTTTTCGGGTACAAAAGGTGAAAAATGAAAGCAAACGTTAACTTGTTTTGTGATTTTCGTTAAGACTTAAGAGTCTTATGTCAGTGAAAGTTAGCAATCAATTACTATGGCTGGGAATACGAGTCTGGTTTTGCGGGTATTACTAAATTGCATTTGTATATGTTAATGAATTATACTCAACTCACTTTTTCATTTTGGCAGAGAGAGTGAGGCACCATCTGCCTCTCATCCTAAACGTGGAGAGCGCTCTAAGAGAACCGACATTCCTCCTATACCTCATGCTCAAACAATAGACGAGGAGACAATTTAAAAAAAAAAGGAAAGAAAATTCTGACGTTTGAGCAGGAGGTACCACCAATGTACCTCCTGCTCAAACAAAATACGAGGAGACAATTTCAAGAAAAATGAAAGAAAAGTCTGACGTTTGGCCACACTTCAAGCGTTTTAAGAAGGATGGAGTGGACAAAGCAAGATGCATTTACTGCAACGGTGTTCTTATTGCTTCCACTAGATATGTGACTTCTGCTCTGCGGAATCATTAAGATAGTTGTTTGGAAAAGATAGAAAAGGGTGAGCTGATAGTCGACCATCTATCATCTTCTGGAGGCCCGGTACACACTCTTGACACTTGGAAATTCGATCAGATTGATGCTAGGAGAGCTTTAGCGGAGATGATTATCATAGATGAATTACCATTTAGGTATGTTGAACATGAAGGGTTAAAACGGTTTATGGCTCCTGTTTGTCCAATGTTTCTGTTACCTAGCCGTCAGACCGTTAGAGAGGATTGTATCAAGGTGTTCTTTGAAAATAGAGAGTTGCTGAAGGACTATTTCAAGACTAAGTGTTTAGGAATGGTATCGCCCACTACTGATAATGGGACTTCTTTGTCCAATCTCAATTATATGTGCATTATTGCTCATTTCATTGGTAGAGATTGGAAATTGCATAAAAGAATTATTAACTTTGTCCAAGTTACAAAACATTCTGGAAGTGAAATTGGAAAATAGTTGGCTAGTTGTTTGGTGGAGTGGGGCATTAGGAAGGTGTTTTGTATAACAATGGACAATGCCAGTGTCAATGATGTGGTTGCTATCCATATGAGGGAACAGTTGAAAGAGTGGGGATCGGATATTTTGGATGGAAAGTATCTGCAGATGAGGTGCGTGGCTCACATTATTAATATGGCTGTGAAGGATGGGCTTAAAGAAACTGGTAAATCTGTGGAGCGAGTGAGAGAGTCTGTTCGAGTTTCTGCAAAGCCATTTGAGAAAGCATTTCAGACATTAGCTAGAAATGATAAGAAATTCAAGAAACATCTCAATGAAAAAATATGGAAAGGAAAGCCTTGGTATCACAACTTCTCATGATTGGTCTAGTGTGGGTCGGTTGATTGATTACCTGAAGCTCTTCTATGATTTGACTGTTTGAGTTTCTGGGACTTCATATGTGACTTTACACCTCTTGTTTGATGAGGTATGTGAAATGTATATTATGATATCTGAGTGGGTTGATGGTATAGATTTTGAGGTGTCTTGCATGACTGAGAGAATCAAGTCCAAACTTGCCAAGTATTGGTTTGAAAATGAGTTGGAGAATTCCAAGATGAATCTGTTGTGTTATATGGCAGTCATATTAGATCCTAGGCGGAAAGTTGAATATCTTGAACAAGCTTTGAAGAAGGTATATGGTGAGAGCAGGGGCAAAGCTTTGGTCGAAGAGGTGAAAGATGAAATGCGTCTTCTGTTTGACCATTACAAGCATAGGCTCGGAAGATGAGCAAGAACCTTGTGGAAGTGGGTATGGGAAGAAGAAATGGAAGATTTGGGGTGATTTCAAGAAAATGAAAAGAGAGGCCATTCTGAAAGGAACTATAAAAAGTTCCAAATCTGAGTTAGATAGGTACCTTGAGGAGGAGGAGGAGGAGGAGGAGGAGGAGGAGGATGAAGTGGTTACACGAGCATTGGTGGGTTCAGAAGAGGATGAGTACAAGTTTGACATCTTGGGATGGTGGTCGCGAATTGGGATGAAAATCCTACTATTTCTGAGATGGCTAGGGATATTCTTGTTGTTCCTATTTCCACTGTTTCTTCTGAGTTGGCATTCAGCACAGGAGGTCGAGTTTTAGATTCATTTAGGACCTCCTTATCCCCTGAAGTTGTGGAGGCTTTGATTTGTTGTGAAGATTGGATAAGATCTTCAGACACTGAGTTGGTGGCTGATGGAGAAGATGAGGGTGATGAAGTGGTATTTCAAAATGGTAAGGACTTAATCTTTCTATTTATTCTTATATTTGTTATCTTGATCAAGTCATATTCTAACAAGTTGTTATTGTTTATGTTATCCATTATTTGCAGCTTTTCAAGCTCGTAGTGCAAGTGCACCTGCAGGACCTAGTGGTAGCTCTCATGCAGGACCTAGTGGAAGCTCTCATGCTATGTCACAAGTGGAAGAAGACTATTTCGATGACAACTCTGATGAGAATGATGAGACTTATGTGGACGTAGAGCCTGATGAGGAGGAGTGATAATGGTAGTAGTGTTTATCTTGTATGGTGGATGAACTTTGATTTTACTTGGATGTTATCATTTGAGAATTGTAAAACTAATGTGTTTAATTACGAGTTGAAGATATTCTCATCTATGATTGTCGGTGATTTTATGTTGAACAAAATTATTTATAATTTTGTGCCATACACCAAACATTTTTTTGCATATGATAGTTGATATACCTTCAATTTTTTGGACCTATGGTATTACTAAAACATTTAATTATATGAAAACCCACAAGCCCAAAAGGTTGTATTACTTAATATAGCAAAATAAGATATGATTAAATTACGTATAAAATATGTATAAATATTTTACTTTGTCTCTAAACTAGTAATACTCTTTAATAGTTAATAGTATGTCAATAGTTATAGAATACATAAAATTAAATATATTAATAATTAACTAATATTTTAATAATAAAATAATATATAAATATTAGTTTTATACTACCCACGTCCCATAAAATTAAACATAATAGTTTAATAAGAATGTACAAATAATAAGAATAAAATTGTTTGTACAAGCAAAAAAGAATGTAAAATTCAAATCACAAAAGTAAAAAAAAATCCACAACGGTTCGGTTTCGGGTTCACCCGACCCGAACCAAAACCGCCAGCATATTTTTGGGTTCCTGCACCCGAAACCCACAAGGTATATTTTCGAGTTCGGTTTCGGGTTGTGTAGTCTCGGTTTTGGTTTTTCGGGTTTTCCCAAGTTTCGGGTTCGGTTACCCGAATCGACAGGCCTAGTTAACGCTGTTAGAATTTTGATGATGTGGCAAACGGAAGTCCTGACTGAACATTACCTTAATGATGTGTCAATTTTTAAAAAAAAATAAAAATAAAAAAGAGATTACACCTCATTCTCTGGAAAAAATCCCAAAATACTCTAATTATTAAAAAAAATTCCCAAAATACAGTACTTATAAACTTATTTCCCAAAATACAGAAGTTTCAACATCACTGTTGTAGACCAAGACAGTGATAGCAATCACCGTTTTTTACCAAAACGGTGATAGCATCATCGCTTTTAACCAAAACAGTGATGCAATCACCGTTTTGGACAAAAACAGTGATGTTATCATCGCTGTGGACCAAAACAGTGATGCAATCACCGTTTTGGTCAATACGGTGATAGCATCATCTCTTTCAACCAAAACGGTGATAATTTCCCCGCGTTTGTGCGAAACGGTGATAGTCGACCTTATCATCGCCGTTGACGAAAGCGATCACATCATCGCCATGGACCAAAACGGTGATAATCGACCACGTTTTAGAGCCCTGGTAGGTGGGAAATTAGGTCACAGCGACCTAGCTATCACCGCTTTGGACAAAAGCAGTGATGTGTTCACCGCCATTGTCCTCAGCGGTGATTGCTGCCGTTTTTTCCTATAAATACTGACCTCCACTTCCCCTCTTGCTACCTTACAGAAAATTAGTACAAAAATTAGTGTTTTATTAGTCATTTTCTCAGCTGGTTTGGAGTTGGTTTACTGCTCAAGAAACTCGTCGGGATTCGGTATGTTATAATTATGTAATGTTTACATGTTGATGTGTTAGTAATTTATATGTCTGTATTTAGTGAATTGCGGTTATTGGAAAATATGTTATGATATATTTAGATTAATTATGATATGATAGATGTTAGTTAGTTAGTACTGAATTTAGATGAATTTGTTTAGTTTTCTCATGATAGATCGGGAGTCGGTATGTTATAATTATGTATTGTTTACATGTTGATATGTTAGTAATTATATGTCTGTATTTAGTGAATTGCGGTTATTGGAAAATATATTATGATATATTTAGATTAATTATGATATGATAGATGTTAGTTAATTAGTTATGAATTTAGATGAATTTGTTTAGTTTTCTCATGATAGATCGGGCTTCGGTATGTTATAATTATGTATTGTTTACATGTTGATGTGTTAGTAATTATATGTCTGTATTTAGTGAATTGCGGTTATTGGAAAATATGTTATGATATATTTAGATTAATTATGATATGATAGATGTTAGTTAATTAGTTATGAATTTAGATGAATTTGTTTATTTTTCTCATGATAGATCGGGCTTCGGTATGTTATAATTATGTATTGTTTACATGTTGATGTGTTAGTAATTATATGTCTGTATTTAGTGAATTGCGGTTATTGGAAAATATGTTATGATATATTTAGATTAATTATGATATGATAGATGTTAGTTAGTTAGTTATGAATTTAGATGAATTTGCTTAGTTTTCTCATGATAGATCAATTACATGTGTTTGCTTATGGGTTTGGATGATATTGTTTTTGTATCCCTAATGTACTAATTATATACTATACTTAATTATTATAAATTGCAGACATGGGTAAATTTAAGAAGTTTCGGCTTATTATTCGGTGGAATGGTCGGGTGACAAACTCGAACATTGGGATCGACTATGAAAATGGCGAATCCACTATGCTAAAAATTGAGTCGAGATTCTCGTGGCAAGAACTCCATGACATTTGTGCAGAAAGGACTTGTACGGGCGGGCAAAGGAGAGTTGGTCAAATTGCTTACCGCTATCCAAACATGAGTGTTGGCGGAATCATGTACGAAAAAGTTGTCATAAATGATAATGACTCGGTGAACATGATGATACAGTTCCTATCTGACAACAGGGTGCGGCTTGCAGAGGAGTATGTCGAGACCGAGGCGGTCGGTGAAACTCATTCTCGCCAGTATTCTTGTGATGATGGTTTTGCAGGAGGGTATGGCTGGGGTGGTAGTTCAAGTAACTACGGAGGAGGTACTTCTGCAGGAGGGTATGGCTGGGGTGGTACTTCAAGCAACTACGGAGGAGGTAGTTATGAAGGAGGTGTTGGGTGGGAAGAATACCCGCAACATGCTGAGACTGCCGTCAATATCGTTCAGCCTGACGGTGATCAATGGCCTGCTTGGGGTCCAGAGTGGGCTGACATTGAGAACACCCTTCGATCTGGGCGTACTTCGCATGACCAAGAAGACGATGTTGGTTATGCTGGTAACGATGACCATCCTGAGTCGAGTTATCCATTCGCCTCTAGTGACGATGAAAGTGAGGAAGATTTGAGATCAGTCAGTGAGGAGGAAGATACGGACGATATCGATGACAGAGAGGTGGCGTTCCGTCCATTTTTTGCCGAAAAGCTAGCGAGAGTATCGACAAAACAAAAACTCTAGTAATTCTTTCTGATGCGGAAGATCGGACTTAGCCGCAACCACAGAGCATACTTAGAACGAAACTAGAGTGAAATAATGGAAGGAGAAAGAAGTATAAAATGGTGGTGTGGTTTGGAATGAAGGGGGGGAGGGGTATTTATAGTGTTTGGGCGCTGGAAAAATCTTGTGCATTAATCACCGCGTCAAACAAACACAGTGAATTCACTGCGTCCAACAAACGCGGTGATGGCCTGGATCGATGACGTGGCGCCATGTGAGGCGTCGGATCGTGGAGAAAAACCACAATCCGCGCCTCACTGCATCGAACGGCAGCGGTGAAGGCGCGGGTGGGGCGGATCAGTGACGTGGAAAGTGGGGCTATCACCGCTTTAGTCACTAACGGTGAAGTGCCCGGGCGCGTCCACGTCAGCGATCCGCGCCTATTCACCACTTTTCAATCCAACGGTGAAGATCTCTTCACCGCGTCTCTTATCAACGGTCGTATCATCATCGTTGTTCACCAAAGCGGGGATTGGATCACTGTTTTGGTCCACAGCGATGATAGCATCACTGTTTTTGTCCAAAACGGTGATAGCATCACTGTTTTGGTTAAAAGCGATGATGCTATCACCGTTTTGGTCAAAAACGGTGATTGCCATCACTGTCTTGGTCTACAACAGTGATGTTGAAACTGCTGTATTTTGGGAAATAAGTTTATAATTACTGTATTTTGGGAAATTTTTTTAATAATTAGAGTATTTTGGGATTTTTTCCTCATTCTCTCCCCACAGCAACCCTTCTCTTCTCCTTCCTCTTTGCACGAGAAGCAGCCAAAACAGGGTCTCTCCCCACAACAACCTTTCTCTTCTCCTTCCTCTTCGCACGAGCAGCAGCCAAAACAAGATGAGACTCTCTGATACCCCTGTCGGGAGTCGAACCCGATAGAATGAATCCAGTGCATCGCCTTTGTCATCGATCAGCCTCCGAGGTCGTTTTCGCCATCGACGCCGTAGATCTCCCCGTCCCGTCGGCGGGGTCCCTGTTACCACCACCGTCGAATCAAATTTCAGCAGCACCACAATCATCTTCTCCTGCAGCCGCTCGTTGCTTTTTCCTCATCCTGGTGTTGCTCGTTGTCATAAACTCCGCCGCCTTCAACAACCTAGTCCGACACACCACCAGACTTTCCAGTCGCAGTCGAAGCCGCCACCGTCTCGCCAAGACTACTTGATACAGCCTCCTCTCTAGACCATCGCAACAACCTCAACCCGGAATCCACGCCATCTTCATCGGCCGCTGCACGTGTCAGCATCAATCCGCTGTTGTCGTCTTCCCCAGTTTCTTCTTCCAGATCTAGGGAAATCTTCCAAACATAACCACCCCTAAAAATCAAAATTAAAACTTCTCAAACTTGGAACCAAGCAAAACCCCTAAAAATCGACAAGCATTTAGAAGGAACAAAGTACTTACCGTCTTCGTTCTCTCGCCGGCGACGAGAGCATAGCAGTGGCATATTGAGATTGAGGGTAGGAGGAGAGGTCAATTTGGAGTTCTTATTTTTCTGGGTTGGTCACGTCCATCCTTGGCCAGTAAACGCTAGTCTGGGAGCAGAACCCGCCGATGTCGGATTTGGAGAGAGGAGCTCCGACGGTATCGAAGGCGTCGTGGATTTTCTTCTCTTCACGGTTGCGGACGAGGAGGGAATCAGGGGCGACAGAGAAATTGTATAGCAGCGGAGTGCCGCCACCATGCAAAGGAGCCTCCGGTGCCATTTCGCCCAGGCGGAGCGGTGGTGGAGATGGAGTTGGATGGAATAGATCTCCGGAACCCAACTCTTGTGTAAATATGGGGAAGGCGAAGAATACGATGGAGGGGATTGGGCCACTACTCCTCTGCCTATTTTTGTTTATTTGTTTTCTTTTAATTTTTTAATTTTTTTAATTGACTTAACAGTACAGTCAGCACTTCCGTTTGCCACGTCATAAAAAATCTGACGGCGTTAACGGAGATTGAGGGAGGGTGACTAACGGTGAAACGAATCATAAAGTTAGTGGCTAGTATGAAAGAAAAGTAATTTGAGTGACAAATGTGAAAGATTTATGTAATTTGAATGACCAAACGTGTAATTTAGCCCTTACGTTACAGAGGCAATATTGAAACTTTACAAACCTAGAATCTCAGTTGGGCATTGGCTTGGAAACCAATTTTTAGATCGCTTTTGTTGCTTTGAAGAAGCCCCGAAGTATATTATGCAAATAATGAAACAGCAAGTTCAAAACCCCCAGGCTTTGATCACCCAATATCTTCATTATCAAGGGAAGGAAGGGTTTTAACCGGGAAAAACCTTGCACTGCACGCCTCAATGAGTACGAAGACTATAAACAACCGTATGAATTTGTACGATGTTGTACGAAACAAAGCTGGAAAACAGTTATATGCAGCCAACCACGACAGAAACAATTCTAAGCTTGCATTTACATAACAGAAAAGCAAGTTAAAATGGAGTATACCAGAAAATCTAAGCTAACTTGCACTATGTATCTCCGCTGAGTGAAAGCAAAAGGAGGCACCAACTCTAGTGCTAACTTGCAATATGTATCTCCGCTGAGTACCTCCATTCAGAAATCTCTCATTTCTTAAACTCCAAGCGTCTTGACCTAATCCTAGTGCTGCACATCAACCCTGCCTCTGTAGGATGTGACGAACCAACTGCACCTACAAGGCAAACGGAAATCCCATTTAATGGCCTCCTCCAAAAAGAGGGGGAAATGGGGGGGACAAGATGGATCACGACTGCTTTAAAAGCGCACCTGCAAAACTTTTACTTTGGCCTTGGGAGTATGCTCGGCTTTTTCTTTCATTTAGTAGAGGGGTTTTTGCTTTTGCTTTGGATTTAGGCCTATAAATCTTGCATCCCCTGCGCTGCCGTCTCTTTACCTTACTGCTGCTTGGTTCCTCCTTCATGATGACTGCCGGAGGTTCCTGTGCATTGTTCTGCACAACAACCACAAACTTAAGGGTGATCGATCGAGTAGCTTGTAAACAAATAGAAGCAATGACCACTGTCTATAACCTCCCTCCCTAGCACGAAAACCCAAAAAGGTGGCAGGGTACTTTCACAAGCCACATGATATCAAAATGCAGAAACCAGAAAGCCTTATATGATGGATTGTAGCTTTGTGTATGAAACATGTAACTTCGACCACGAATAAACTACAGTAAGACAAAACAATGTAAACAGGTTGACACAAACCTCATTATACTTATCACAAGAATCGACTGGGTGTTCTTCTGGAGCACTGCTTCGGATCGTTGGGTGTCCGGTCATCTCATGGCCATCCATTCGGTCTGTAAGAGAAACTGCAATCTCCCGCCTAGGCTTGTCCAAGTTTCCTGCGGTTGAAATGTTTAAAGGCTTGATCTGCAATCTCTCACTCAACAAACTAACTAGTTTATCCCGATCAAGGCCTTCATTCTCTTGAGACAGCAACTCAGTCAACTCATCCAAGAGTTTATAAACCCTCCCCTCGGCCTTTGCCACTGCACCTGCTTGGAGATCACAACTAATTCTGTGAGTTAAAATGTTCAAACAAGAAGGAACAGCAAGAAAGTAAATTGCAGCATTGGGGCTCGTCAGAAAGCATGGAGTTGTAGATTTTGTTTCTAGTTTAACTTCTGGATATAGTGAACAACCAGAGAACATAGTGGAATAAATCATCTAACTAGCTGATTCTTCACAGAATACGATATACCACATGTGCAAGTAAGCATACATGTACATACATAGAGCGACATAATTTTCCAGCAGAGCATAATGTTCCCCACTCAACATAAACATACCAGATAGTCCTGTTTCATCTTCAGGGTCATCATGTTGTTCATTTTGAGCAAGTGCAACACCATCAAGCATCTCCCTATCTTGCAGTATAACATTTGAATCAGCCGCCACTAGTTGTGAGTCTCTCATTTTGCCAATGTCCAACGTTGGTTCCAAACCAACACTAGACTGACTGTCAACATCCAACACAGACGCAGTGACTCAACATGCAAAAAAAAAAAAAAAAACGTTCGCTAATTGAAGTACCCAAAGCAAGTTGAACTTTGCAGTCTTCTGGGATTCGGAGGCAAAGTAAACGGAACTTTCACAGGCACTACAGCAGACGACTCTTGAAACCCAACAAGTCAATTCGAACAGAGTACAGTAAATAATTGTTTGTGAAGAGAAATATGTATGCATAGCAGCAGCCCGCACAAAGTTAATCAGTACCTGTCCGCCTTCGCTTCGTCTTAGGGGTATAATACTTGGTTCTGCGTCCCTTACGCTTCCCTGTGCTGGGTTCCTTCATTGGGTTCTGCCACGAATTTGAGCGGAGATCGAGTAGCTTATTCCGACGGTCGAGGTCGGATGAGGATCAATTTTCCGGCAAATGAAGATGAGAATTGGTTGGACAAAGAACTTGAGAAGAGAATGAGAAATTGGGGAAGAAGAAGCAGAAGAATAGAGGAGGAAGGAAGATTGTAATTCTGTTATTCGATAATCCCTTTTCCCACTACTGCAACGTCCTCCTATATAGGACCAACCCAAACCTTATTGGGATCGGCGTATATATGGCCGCCCACGCTGACGCCAACGGCTTCCCTGCCTACGTCATCCAGCAGGACAAATAGGGACCACTAGGGATGGAAACAAACCCCATCCCAAGGGTACCCACCCGACCAACCCGGTCAACGCGAGTAAAATCCGTTCACTATTTATTGGGTAGGGTTTGGGTTTAGATAAACCCGACCCATGGGTACCCGCCCACACCCATATAATTAATTTTATCGCCATATTTAATATTCTAAACAACTAATCTTATTTATGTTTCTGGAGATATATCGAATTTATTCTTTCTAGTTGTGTAGAATGAAGTTGATGTTGTCGAGTGGAGAGTGGAGAGTGAAAAACTTAATTGAAAAGAAGAAGCTTTCAACTAATCATGTTATTTGTGGATAATTTGTGATTTTCTTCAATTTTCTTAAGTTTTCTAGATTGGTGTTGAACAATTTGTATAGTTAATTTGTGATTTTCTTGAATTTTCTAGAATTGTGTTTTATATATAGATAATTTGTATTGAGATATTGATATTTGACTTTAATTTTGATAGGACCCAGTTTGTTATTGTGAATTTTTTACGACAAAAACCTGTGGGTACCCATGAACCCGCGGATACCCAGCGGGTTCGGTTGGGTTTGAGTTTTTAAGACCCAGTGGGTTTTACCCCGGTTTTTTTTCACGGATAAACCCATGGGTTTGGGTTTGGCAAAACCAAGGTTGTCAAACCGGTTTATGCCGGTGTGCCGGTTTTGTAAGTGGAATGGTCTGACCGTGGTACAACCAGTATTCATGCCGGTTGTGCCGGTTTTAATAAAATACATGAGGAAAATGGAAATCCTCAATTCCAAATAAATTAGTCATGAAAAAGCAATCAGAAGAATTATTTCACACAAAATAATTTATAGCTAAGAATTGGTAACTAATACTAAACAATTAGATGCTTAAAAATAAAATTTTATTAATGTTTATAATGATTTGTGTAAAATTTAGTATTAGATATATAACATATAAGATTAATATAGACAACAAAATTGCTTGTAGCCTACTGGTGTATAAGTTAAAGTAAATTGAACATGAGATACTTGGTTCAAATCCTATGGAGGATGTTTATTTTTGTATGTAATGTGTGTAACATTAAATTCCGGTTTCTGGTCTAACCGGCCGGAATTTTCGGATTTGACCGGATCTGACCAGCATTGACCGGATTTGGCCACAATTAAATACCGGCCCCTTTCCAGCCGGTCTGTTGACCGGTACTGGTTGAACCCGGTTGAACCGGCCGGCATGAAACCGGTTTGACAATCATGGGCAAAACCCAACCCAACTCATTGTCATCCCTAACCACTAGAAAATTGGAGGACGGAGCAGCCAACGACCCAGATCTGGGGCACACAGAACGGACGGTCCGGATTAGCTTCAAGTGTGAGTTAGTGGACTGTGGGTCCAATCGACTGAAAAGTCTGTCCGTTGTCTTTGTATTGTCTCCCCACTCGTTTGAGAAAAGGCACATGACCCATTGAGTCGGCTTGTTAGCCTATCGCCTCCAAAGATTTCTAACTGAAAATGAATAGTCAATTTGTGATAACTATTAAATTCAAAATTTAATTGTTTTGAACCAGATCCAAAATTTGAATTTAAGCCTAAAATTCAAATTTTGGAGAGATGGATAAATAAGTTATAGCTTTCCCTTATTTACTCCATTTGACTAAATTGACGAGCAAGTCCGTCTCTGTCTCTCTCTCTACCCCCTGTCTCTCTCTCCATCTCATGTAGATCTTCCTCCGCTCCGCCGTCTCTTAACTGGTTGTTGGTCCGACGAGAAGACTGTCTGCGCCACGTTTGTTCTGGTCTCCAGCCATCATATGTATCCATCTCGAAGGTTCAGGTAAATCATCCCCAAAACCAACCTTATGTAGAGAGCGAGATATTATTTGTCGTTATTGTGTTGAATGCTTGAAACTCCTATTTTTCGCTCCGTGTTCTCAGTCTATATGTGGGTTATGATTTGGTTGTCGGTAAAACATAAGCTTTGGCTGGGTGAAAGCCTTAATATTAATTCAAGCTTTGTGTAATATGATTTGAGCAATTGTGGAATTTGTTGATGTTTCATATTCTGTAAGTGGTCTCCCCTGTGGCCCTTGTTGGTTGAATGTGTGAAAAATTTAATAGCCCCCCTTCCCAGCCTAGTTATTCTGCTAACTGCATAAGTTGTTAGTATATACTAACTAATATCCAAAATGTATGAACAAGTATCCAAGTCTGCTGATTTTACTAAAATATCTAGATAGCACATACTAGTATTCAAAACATCACAAACTGGTATCCAGATAGCAGATACCAACTAATATCCACAATCAACCAACTAGTATTCAATATGGATACTCTTATGTGTTATCTGGATACTTTTATGTGTTATCTGGATACTAATTATGTGTTGTATAGATACTATTCTGTGTTGCCTAGATATTAGTTTGTGAATTTGGGATAATAGTTGATTCATGGTGGATATCAGTTAGCAAACCTTGAATACTAGTCTGTGATCTCTAGATACTTTAGTAATTAGATACTAATTCATGTATTTTGGATATTAGTTAGCATCTGCTAACGAATCTTCAAGTTAGCAGATTAACTCCCCCCCCCCCCCTCCCTTCCCACCAGCGCAGAAGTTAATCTGCTAACTGCTCAAAGTGTTAGCAGATACCAACAGGGCAGGATTTTGGGCCACGTCGGCCCATGTTTCATCCAACGGAGGGGAGAGGCGGCGTGGTGGTGGCTCACTTAAGTGAGCTGGAGGTGGGCCAACGTGTAGAAGCCGGCCCAGCGTGCGGCGACGGCGGCGGATCCGAGCAAGTGGCGTGGTGGGCCCGGATTGAGTTTGGGCGGGAGAATGGAGAGAAGTGGAAAGAGAACAAAAATTGATGGGCCCCCTTTGATATTTATGTATGTTTGTTTGTGTGGATATTTATTTGTTTTCAGTCGATATTATTTTGTGTTGTGTTGATATTACTTTGCATCATTGTTGAAATGAACTAGTATTCTTCCTTCGCAAACCAATATCCATCATTAAACTAATGTTTAACAGCGGCCCAAAATAACCCAACCATCATAAACTGATTACACCAATTTATAGTTTAAGTTTTAGGGTTTAGGGTTATGGTTTTCAATTTGTGAAGGATTGGAATATTGTGTCTTATATCAAATTAAACACACTATCAAGTCCTAACACATAAGGCTTGCAACCTTAGTTAGGGCTGCCCGCCGAGGGCCCATGGGCTGAAGGCCCATTAAATAATAATAGTTTTTATTGTTTATAGTTTATTTTTTAGGGTTTATGGTATAGGTTTGGTTTAGAGTTTAGGGTTTACGGTATAGAGCTTAGGGTTAAGGTTTCAACATTAGGGTTTGGGTTCTCTTTTAGGGTTTAAGGTTTGGTCTGGTCAGTATGAATATCTATTCTTTCCTGATTATATTGTTTTTAGAATTTATTTAGTAGTGTTCATTGTTTAGGGTTCGGGGTTAGGGTTTCTTGTTGAAAAATTAACAACTTATACAAAGTAGGTAATATTATATAGGAGGGACGCTTAATGTTTCAACAAATCGATATATACTTATATGTTCTATGTCGTAACAATTTAGCTGACGTATGATAATACGAACAAAGTAGGTAATATTAGATAGAAGGGACGTTTATTTGAACCTAAGGAAATATTCCTTTAGTTCAGGTGTTTAGATATTTGTGTGTAACCTTTGAATATTCTTGGCTTGGGCAAACAATAATAGTTTTATTTTTTTTAGTGTTTAGTGATTAGGGTTTTAGAGTTTAGAGTTCAGGGTTTAGGGTTAGGGTACAAATAGAAGATATTAGTTGGTGTGTTGTGGATACTTGTCTTTTCTAGTTGTAATACTTTTTACTAAACACATGATATTTCTTTAAAACATTTTGATATTTTTCCGGGTTGTGTGGATATTTATTTGAACCTGAGAAAATATTCCTTTAGTTCTCGGCTTGGGCAAACAATAATAGTTTTATTTTTTTAGTGTTTAGTGATTAGGGTTTTAGAGTTTAGAGTTTAGGGTTTAGGGTTAGGGTACAAATAGAAGATATTAGTTGGTGTGTTCTGGATACTTGTCATTCATAGTTGTAATACTTTTTACAAACTACATGATATTTCCTTATAATATTTTGCTATTTGTCCGTGTTGTATGGATATTTATTTGAACCTGAGGAAATATTCCCTTAGTTCATGTGTTTGGATATTTGTGTGGAACCTTTGAATATTCTCGGTTTGGGCAAACAATAATAGTTTTATTTTTTTAGTGTTTAGTGATTAGGGTTTTAGAGTTTATGGTTTAGGGTGTTAGGGTACAAATAGAAGATATTAGTGGGTGTGTTGTGGATAGTTGTCTTTCCTAGTTGTAATACTTCATGATATTTATTTAAAACAATTTGATATTTTTCCGGGCTGTGTGGATATTTATTTGAACATGAGGAAATATTCCTTAAGTTCATGTGTTCAGATATTTGTGTGTAACCTTTGAATATTCTCGGCTTGGGCAAACAATAATAGTTTTATTTTTTTTAGTGTTTAGTGATTAAGTGAGTTTAGAGTTTAGGGTTTAGCATTTAGGGTTAGGGTACAACAATTTGATATTAGTTGGGGTGTTGTGGATATTTATTTGAACCTGAGGAAATATTCCCTTAGTTCATGTGTTTGGATATTTGTGTGGAACCTTTGAATATTCTTGGCTTGGACAAACAATAATAGTTTTGTTTTTTAGTGTTTATTGATTAGGGTTTTAGAGTTTAGAGTCATGGGTTTAGGGTTTAGGGTTTAGGCTTAGGGTTAGGGTTACAAATAGAAGATATTAGTTGGTGTGTTGTGGATACTTGTCTTTCCTAGTTGTAATATATTTTACTAACCACAAGATATTTATTTAAAATATTTTGATATTTTTCCGGGTTGTGTGGATATTTATTTGAACCTGAGAAAATATTCCCTTAGTTCATGTGTTTGGATATTTGTGTGGAACCTTTGAATATTCTCGGTTTGGGCAAACAATAATATTTTTATTTTTTAGTGTTTAGTGATTAGGGTTTTAGAGTTTAGAGTTTAGGGTTAAGGATTTAAGGTACAAATGTAAGATATTAGTTAGTGTGTTGTGGATACTTGTTTTTCCTAGTGTTAATACTTTTTACTGACCACAGGATATTTATTTAAAATATTTTGATATTAGGGTTTTATAGTTTAGGGTTTAGTTTTGTTTGTTTAGGGTTCACGGTTTAGGGTACAACTATTAGATATTAGTTTTGCAATGAATCGATATTATAAGGGTGTCTATGTGGACGTGTATGACAAGGTTAGTGGCTTTTACATGGATTGGTTTGTGTCGATGTTCCTTGATGTCCTTGTTGAGTTGTTTTTCATTTCCAATTCAGAGTCGGATGATGACGATAACACCGGTGAAACTGTATCCATCCTTATTTATTTATCTACTTACTAGTATCATCGTTGAAATGAACTATTATTCTGTGTTCAGTATCCATCCTTCACCAACCCAGTATCCACGTCTTTATTAAACTTTGCGGATATTAGTTTAGGACGATCGAATATTTGGTTGTGTTATATCCAGACTCACTTAAGTAACATTGGACCTCACAGAACTAATATGAGAGCATAATATCCAGACAGCGCAGATTATTATCCATACATTTCATAACTAATATCCAGACCCTAACATAATAATATTCCAGAATAACAAACTTAAATTGTTTATCGACAAACCGCGATAAAACTAGTATTCAATGCCATTACAACTTGGCAATCCCAGAATCTCAAATCTGAAAAAGCACAACCACATAAGAAATGAGAAAGCAATAGTTTTAGCCAGTGATGTGCCTCCACCTCCCCTTCTCATGGAGGAGCTGGATTCGAACACCTTTTGGATCTTGTCATCTTGCAAAATTCCTTAAATACATGGAAAGAAATCATTAGGCATATGCACAGTCCAGACTAATATCCATATAGGGCATAAAAATATCCAGACCTAGCATACAAATATCCATGCATCATGGGCATGCTAAATATCGACATTCAACAAACTGGTATCCCAAACATGTTAAATAATATCTCAGGTCAACAAACTACCATATTAACGAGCAAACTCGGAACCCCCAAACAATATCCACATTCAACAAACTGATATCCAAATCATGCTAAATAATATCACATGTCAACAAACTACTATATTAACGAGCAAAACTTAGAACCCCCCAAACAAAATCCACATTCAACGAACTGGTATCCCAAGCATGCTAAATAATATCTCATGTCAACAAATTACTATATTAACGAGCAAAACTCAGAACCCCCCAAATCGAATCCCAATGCATAGAAAGCGAATCTCAAATCCCCCGACAAGAATCCCAGATCCCTAACAACGAATCTCAAATCCAAAAAATGAAGCAAAAACAAAAAAAAGAACTCAAATCCAGTTGAATCCATGAAACCCTAAATCAAATAACAAGAATCCCGAATCTCCCAAATCGAATCTCAGATCCCAACCACAGAAAATCCCAGATCCCCCAAATCGAAAGAAACCCAAATCCCCCAAATCAAAAGAAACCCAGATCCCCCAAATCGAATCCCAAGGCACAGAAAGCGAATCTCAAATCCCTCGACAAGAATCCCAGATCCCCAAACAACGAATCTCATATCCAAAAAACGAAGCAAAAAAAATATTCAGATCTAGTCGAATCCGTGAAACCCTAAATCAAATATAAAGAATCGTGAATCTCCCAAATCAAATCCCAGATCCCAGCCATAGAAAATCCCAGATCCCCCAAATCGAATCCCAGTGCACAGAAAGCGAATCTCAAATCCCCCGACAAAAATACCAGATCCCCAACAATGAAAAACTCAGATCCAACATTCGTATCCATGAATCAAGGAAGGAAAAGGGTAAAACACATACCTCAAAGATTTGCCTTCACCGTCGCGTTGCTGCCCTCAATGAATCAGGAGAAAGGAAGATGCTTACCTCAAAAACTTTCTTCTCTTCACAGCGGTGTCGTCGTCTTCCTCGCACTACCGGCGTCGATGTCTTCCTTCTTGCTCGACCGACTTTTTCTTCCTTCAAGCACCGCTACCGGCATCACCAAGCACCAGCTTCTTCTCCTTGCATTGTCGTCTTCTTCCCGCCCGCGGTCCTCATCGGCGCCGTCGTGTTTCTCACAGCCGTCGTTGTGAGAGGATTTTGCGTTAGAGAGAGAGAGAAGAGGCTGGTCGAGAATTTTGGAGAGTGAGAGAGAAAGGAAATGAGTGATGGAGAAAAATAGGAGATTAAACAGAAATAAAAGAGTAGGGTTTTTTTGAATTGTGGGACCCAATTTTTTTGAAATTTGAGAAGAGGCTTGATTTAGCCAAGCCGCACGTTTCTCTCTTCCCCTCACATGGTGGCGCCGATCCTCCTCTACCGTAGGATCACAGCTCGCCGACGTGGCCTCCCATCCAGCCCTGTTAGTATATACTAACAGCTTATGCTGTTAGCAGAATAACCATATTGTCCCACCAGTGAGTTTGACCAATCCGATTGATGCAATATATTTTTTTAGTTATTGTTACTATGAAAGTCGAACTTAATCGACCACATGATGGAAATGTGATTGACGTGCATACATTTTAGAGATGGTAGTATTTGTGTTGTTGTATTTATACATTGGTGAAAATGTATCAACTTTTATGAAGACCAAATATTTTGTAAATTAACTATATGTACATTACTTAGTTGCAGGACGGATCGGGTCCTCAAAGCAGTTTTGAATTGCGAAGAAGAGTAAATGTTGGCAACGACTTTCGGTGAAAGAGATAACTGGAGCATAGCTAGGATAATCACTTGGACGATTAGAGATAGTTGTCTTAGGTATAATTAACTTCTTATTATGTTTGTGGCATATTGAATGTATAAACTACATAATGTTATAATGAACCTTTTACTTGTAAGTGTTCTGGTTATGTAATGTCGTAATAATGACTGAGAACAGAGAACGGAAAATGCCAATGCATTACCAAGACGTTGTATACATTAGTTTTTAATTCATTAGAGATTGTACCTGAAATTGTGTATAGAAAGAATGGTTGTATACTAGTTACAAAGACCAATTGCATAAGTCATATTCTCAGCGAGTAGGAGTCTAGGGATGGCAATGGGTCGGATTGGGGCGGGTTTTGTCAAACCCAAATTCAAACTCATGGGTTTCTCCGAAGAGAGGTTGTGGAAAGAGAATGAAAGAGGTTTTATAAGGCTGACGTGGATAGCCTAATAATATTTGAGATAGGGATACGTGGAGCGGTGGAGGGGGTCTAAAACTAAAAGCCCTTTAATATTTTTTAAGATTAAGAAGATAGTTTTGTTGGTGGCGGATCGTGCTCAGTTCTTTCTTCCCTCCTACTGAAAGATTCGTAACAAACGATAAGAGAACACAACACACTGTTTAACGTGGTATCCTCGTTCGATTTGAACGAGACTAATCCACGGGGAAGACAACCTTCCCAGCTCTCTTTTTATTCCTTCTCAACGCCGACTTACAGCTTACATGAAAGTGAGGGAGAGAGCAGAATATATATCGTAACCCTAGCTCAACGAAAGCTACGCAGGGCTACGGGTGTAGGAACATAAAAGAGTACAAAACTATCCCTACACTAAAACGACACAGCAGTCCCTTTACCCCCCCCCCCCCCCCTCTCAAGCGGGGCATGCAGGTTACAAGTGCCCAGCTTGGAGAGTAAGTATTGAAAACGGTCACTACCAAGACCTTTGGTGAAGATATCTGCAACCTGTTTTGCGGTAGAAATCTTCAGAGGAAGGATGGTCTGCGAAGTGACATGGTCGCGAACAAAATAGCAATCCAGTTCAACATGCTTAGTCCTCTCGTGGAAACAGGGTTAGCCGCTATGTGTAGAGCAGCTTGGTTGTCGCAAAAGAGAGAGACAGGGCGCGTCTGTGGGACGTCAAGGTCACGAAGGAGTGCACGCAACCAAATCACCTCACTGACAGTGCCTGCCATGGCGCGATATTCAGCTTCGGCAGATGAGCGAGCAACCACCGTCTGCTTCTTGGTGCGCCAGGACACAGGGGCAGAACCAAGCATGACGAAATACCCAGAAGTGGACCGACGAGTTGTCTGACAACCTGCCTAATCCTCATCACAATACGCAGTTAACTGAAGATCACTAGCAGCAGGAAAAAAAATACCTTGACCAGGAGCGGTCTTCAGATACCGAAGGACCCGCTCGGCAGCAGCAACATGGGCCGAGGTGGGAGCATTAACAAATCGGCTCAGAATATTGACAGCGTAAACGATATCAGGGCGAGTAACCGTGAGGTACTGAAGACGGCCAACGAGACGCCTATACGCAGACCCATCAACAGGGTGGTCCGGTGGAGAAGCATCATCCAATGGACGAGTGAGTTGATGATTTTGTTGCATAGGAAAGGAAACAGGGCGCCCCCCGTGAGACCTGCATCCTGTAAAAGATCGAGGGTGTACTTGCGCTGACAAAGCACAATGCCCTTGGAAGAACGAGCAACCTCGATCCCAAGAAAATACTTGAGAGGGCCCAAGTTCTTGATACCAAAACGGTTATCCAACATGTCCTTAACCTGCTGGATAAAGGCAACATCATCACCAGCTAGGATCACGTCGTCCACATAGATCAAGGCAGTAACAAAGGTAGTCGCCGTTTTACGAACAAACAGGGAGTAATCCGCACTGGAGCGAGTAAAACCCATCCCGAGCAACGTAGAAGTGAACTTAGCATACCAGTTACGAGAGGCTTGCTTCAAACCGTAGATCGATTTATGCAAACGACAAACTCGATCATCACCCGGGGCTGCAAAACCTTGAGGAATCTTCATGTAAACCTCCTCGTGGAGATCACCATGAAGAAAAGTGTTGTTTACATCCAACTGGTGAACAATCCAACCTCGTGCGGCAGCAACAGCAAGCAAACATCGTACACTAACCAATTTCGCCACCGGAGCAAAGGTATCGTGGTAATCAATACACTCAACCTGTGTGAACCCCTTGGCAACAAGACGCGCCTTGTAACGTTCGATCTCCCCATTAGGATGATACTTAATCTTATAAACCCACTTGGGAGTGATAGCTTTCTTACCCGGCGGAAGAGGAACCAAAGACCATGTGCCATTTTCTTCCAAAGCTCGCATCTCACGTTTCATCGCCTCCCGCCATTCAATGTAACGGATGGCTTAATGAAAATACGTGGGTTCAGGAACACGAGAGACGGCAGAAAGAAAAGCTTGATGAGACTCTGAAAATGCATGATATGCAACATGCTTCTCCATGGGATGAGGTATGTTGGACGGGGGAATCTCTGTGGCATAAATGTCCAAATGGCGAGGAACAGCCCGCTCGCGTAGACTGCGGCGGGTTTGAGAAGTGGAAGCCACCTGCTGAGTTGTGCCAAGAGCCCCAACGTCATCAGTCACAAGGTTTTCATCCAATGGGGGCGAAGACGGTAAGGTTGCAGCAGCTGGGTCTTCACTAGGCGTGCAACGCGTAGGCAGCACCTGACTCTCACCAACTTCATGCATGCAAGGAGTAGGCAGCACCTCACTCTCACCTATTTCGTCACTTGCGTCAGCCCCAGCACTTGAGACACGAGGAAGAGGACAAGGGGACGTGCATGGAAATGGAGCATCAGTAGCCTTTTCAAAGGGGAAAGCATTCTCAATAAACACCACGTCCCTACTGACGTAAAACTTCTTAGTAGAGATATCCCAAAGGCGATATCCCTTTTGGTTTGCCGGGTACCCAACAAACAACGAACGACGTCCACGCTCGTCGAACTTGGACAAGCCCTTATGAGTATCTTTCCCGTAGGCGAGACATCCAAAAACTCGTAAATGAGAGTAATTGGCGGTGTTGCCCAGTAAAAGCTCATACGGAGTCCGATTACCAATTGCCTTCGAAGGGAGCCTATTGATCAAGTAAGTGGCGGTAAGAATGGACTCACCCCAAAACTGCAAAGGCAAATTCGCCCGGAACATAAGCGCACGAGCTGTCTCCAGCAAATGTCTATGCTTGCGCTCGACAACCCCATTTTGTTGGGGCGTGTCGGTGCAGGATGTCTGCAGAGTTATCCCACGAGCCTCATAGATCGAGCGTAATCGATCAGTCTGAAACTCCATGCCGTTATCGGCTTGAATTCGCGTGACCTCCTTCCCAAACTGGGTACCTGCCATGTTAATGAACATTTCTAGATACCGCTCAACTTCCGACTTATAACGCAGTAGATAAACCCAAGTGGCTCGACTGAAATCATCAACAACTGTAAGAAAATAGCGAGCACCACTATGCGTTGGAGTCTTAAAATTTCCTCAAATATCCACGTGAATGAGTTCAAAACATCGACTAGTCTTAATAGAGCTCTTCGGAAAAGGCAAACGAGTCTGCTTCGCACGAATACAAGAATCACAATTGTCTATCGTGCATTTACTGTGAATGGAACTAAACAAAAACTGAGTCTTCTTCGGGGACGGATGTCCCAGCCTCGAATGCCAAAGTGCTCCCTGCTTTGCATCCTGCCCAGAAACAGCCAAAGCCTTCGATTGGTGCTCATCGAATAGCTGGAGATAGTACAAACCGTCCCGCAGAATCCCACTACCAATCATCCTCCTGGAGTGTAAGTCCTGAACGACGCAAAAGTCCCGCAAAAAAATTAATGCAACATCAAAATCTTGCGTCAATCGGCTCACAGAGAGAAGATTGCACTTAAACAGCGGAATACTCAAGACGTGACTTAGTTTCATCCCTTTCGACAACTGAATCTCCCCAATTCTGGTGACTGGTACACTATCCCCATTGGGTATCTTAACCGGTAAATAACCGGAAGCATTCTCAGAATTCTCTAGCAAACTTGAGTTATTGGTGATATACTCGGTGCATCCCGAATCAATTACCCATTCAGTTCCAGAAAGAGACTTACCAGCCATGTTTGCCATCGGGTCAGAGCTCTGAGGATGCTCACTTTGAGAATTGGTCTGATGTAAAAATTGCACCAGCTGCTGTACTTGGTCAGAAGACAATCCTGGGATAGAAATCCCTGCGGAAGTGGACGTTTGGGCTTCCCTGGGAGTCTCCCTTCGCTGTCCCCTACGAGTGCCATTTTCATTTGACTTAGACTTCTTCTCCGGCCAGCCGATCAGTGCGTAGTGATAGAGATATAATTTAGAAATGAACCCATATCATTCTATAGAAGAGCATGCCATCACACCATCACCATTATTTCCCTCCACCACTGCTCTGCTCTCGCCAGCTATCCATCTTCAGAGAACCATGTGATAACTTTTACTCTTCTTATCTTCTGCCAACTACACATATAACCATCCACTTATTTCACTGTCTGAATACATGTATATATATAGATAGCTTGTACTATTGTATCAACTCAACAGAAACAGATTCCATCAATAGAATTACTCTTTGCATACTTCCACATGGTATCAGAGCACAGAAGCACAAGTGCTCCGATCCCTTAACCTAGCCTCAAATCTCCAAGCCACACAATCTGCTATTTTTCTTACTTCTTCTCCTTCCTTCTCTTCGATAACAGCAACTTCCAAAAAACCCCAACTCACCGACCCAAATAGAAAACAACCACCCAAGCCGGCCGCACATCTCCGACTTCTCCACCGAATTGGGAGATAGATAAAAACAAAACTTTTTTTTAATCCTTCCTCTCTATTAATTACCATGTCTGATTCCCCATCAAACGGCGACGGCTCTGTGGTGCTCCCACTCACCGGCGACGACAATCACGTCGTCTCTCTCAATCCGGCTTCACAGCTCCCCACGAAGTTAAACAAAAATAACTTCCCTCAGTGGCGTGCACAGCTGCTAACTCTTCTTCGTGGTCTGGATTTGCTGTCATTTGTTGATGGCACAAAAACATCACCGGCAGAAGACGCTCCTGGACGCAATCGGTGGTATCGTCAAGATCAATTGATCTTACATGCTATATTGTCCTCTGTATCTGATGTGGTGTCTCCCTATATCTCGGCATCAATCACCGCCCGTCAAGCATACTCCGTTCTTGAGAGAATGTATGCAGGCAATTCTCGATCTCGGATCATTGGTTTGAAGACCCGGCTTGTGCAAGAAAGACAAGGCAATCGTTCTGTCTCTGCTTTTCTCCAGGAGATGAGAACCATATGCACTGAGCTAGCTCTCGTTCAAGCACCAGTTGCTGATGAAGATCTTGTCCTTAACATTTTACGAGGGTTGAACTCTGAATTTGGCCCTCTCGCTGCTGCCCTTCGTGCTCGTGAGAACCCGATTGATGTCGAAGATCTCCATGATAGGTTGGTGGAGTTTGAAACTGACCTTGCTGCCAACCGACACTCTCCCACAACAGCCTTTTCTATTCATCGTGGGAGTGGTGGTGTACGAGGAGCAGCGCGTGGCCGTGGCTTCTCTCCTTCCAAGCAGCCCTCTCATCAAAGGCAATTTCAGCACCCTCAACAAACTCTTCATCGACAATTTTATCAAGGACAGTCACCCTCTTCCCTTCAATCAATTCAACACCACCAACAACCGTCCCGTGGCAATATCATTGACTTTACTAGTCATCAACAGAGTGCTGGTCGTGGTGGAAGAGTGAGGATCTTTTGTCAGTTCTGTGACAAACCCGGGCACACTGCAAAAGAGTGCTACAGTCTTCATGGACGCCCTCCTGCTCAAGCTTATCACACCTCTGCTGCTCCTTCCAGTCCCGGTTGGCTAATGGACTCCGCAGCGACCAACCATATCACCCCAGACCTTGGCAATCTTTCTCTTTACACAGACTACAATGGCCCGGATGAGGTTCTTGTCGGCGACGGTACAGGTTTGAAGATAACACACATTGGAAACTCTACTCTCTATGCATCTGCTGCTTCTTTGCAACTAAAGGATGTTCTTTGTGTTCCTGCCATTCAGCAACGTTTACTGTCTGTTGCTAAATTATGTAAAGCTAATCCAGTCTCAGTGGAGTTTTTCTCTGATTGTTTTGTTGTGAAGGACCTGTCCACGGGGGCGCAACTACTCCGAGGCCAGATTAAAGGGGATGTGTACGAGCTGCCACCGGATGTAAAGACCGTCCGCTTAGCACTTGCCACTACTACAACTTCATCGACTGTCTGGCACAATCGACTGGGACATCCACATCCTAGGCTGCTCTCTCGTGTTTTGCGCTCTCAAGCTCTTCCTGTTTCCATTTCTCCGGCTTCCTTTTCTTGTGATTCCTGTTTGGTAAACAAAACTCATAAGCTTCCATTTTCAGTGTCTACTTTAAAAAGTTCAAGACCATTTGATTTGTTATACATGGATGTCTGGGGTCCTTCGCCAATCTGCTCCATTGATAATTTTTCATATTACTTGGTCATCGTTGATCACTTTTCCCGCTACACTTGGCTCTATCCTCTCAAATACAAGTCTGATGTCTCTGACACTTTTATCACTTTCACACGTCTGGTTGAAAACTACTTTCATACTTCTATTCGTCGAGTCTTTACTGATGGTGGAGGTGAATTTCAGAAACTACGATCTTATCTTCAAAATCGAGGCATATCTCATCTTCTTACTGCTCCTCACACCCCGGAGCATAATGGTTTAGCAGAACGCAAACATCGTCATGTTGTTGAAACAGGTCTTACACTCATGCATTGTGCACATCTCCCCAGTTCTTTCTGGTCTCATGCCTTTCAGTCAGCCGTGTACCTTATCAACCGTCTTCCATCTACCTCTCTCCATAATCAGACACCATATTTCACTCTTTTTAATGAGTCTCCAAATTATTTTAAACTCAAGAGTTTTGGATGTCTTTGTTATCCGTGGCTCCGCCCATACACGTCTCATAAATTAGCCCCTCGTTCTCGACCATGTATTTTTCTTGGCTACTCCACGAACCAAAGTGCATATAAATGTTTTGATCCAGTTGATTGTCGTGTCTTTGTTTCTCGACATGTTCAGTTTGTCGAAACTACTTTTCCTGGTCTTCCCCCTAGTTCTGAGTCCTCCTTGTCTTCATCAGAGTGGCTTGCCTCCACCACTCCGACTGTGCAGCTTGTCCCTCTTTCGATTTCCACGGCGCCTCACCCTCCCAGACAGCCAACTACTGAAATAGTCCCCTCTTCATCAACACATTCGGGCATCGCTTCTGCTCCTGCTCGTACACAACCTACATCGCCATCCCCTTCTTCTGCCTCTGAGAAGTTTGCCTCCCCACGGCCAGCTCCTTCACCGCCCACGCCACCATCATCACCTGCTGTCCTCCCGCCGCCCGCATCTCCACCTCTTCGGATGGTGACTCGCAGTCAACATGGTATTTTCAAGCCTAAAAAGATGTTTACTGCTCAGGTATCTTCTCATTTTGAGCCTACCTCGGTTAAGCAAGCTCTTGCCGATCCTCGTTGGCGTGCCGCCATGCTACAGGAATTGTCCGCCCACACCTCTAATGGCACCTGGTCACTAGTCCCTCCAGCTTCCACTCAAAACCTTGTTGGTTGTCGCTGGATTTTTCGAATAAAGTACAAGGCAGATGGCACCGTTGATCGATATAAGGCTCGATTAGTGGCCAAGGGCTTCAATCAACGTCCAGGCATTGATTTTCATGCTACTTACAGCCCAGTACTTAAACCTGTCACGGTTCGTACAGTGTTCCACATTGCTCTCTCACACCAATGGCCTATCTTCCAGTTTGATGTCAACAATGCCTTTCTCCAAGGCTCTTTAGAAGAGGAAGTCTTCATGGCTCAACCACCAGGGTTTCTCAATACCAAAACCCCTGACTTTGTATGTCGTCTTCATCGTCCTATCTATGGACTTCGACAGGCTCCTCGCTCGTGGTATTTGTCATTGTGCAGTTTTCTTGAGAGAAATGGCTTCGTCAAAACGCAGTCCGATGCGTCCTTATTTGTCTACCATCATGATGGGGTCTTGCTCTACTTCCTTGTCTATGTTGATGATCTTCTTCTCACAGGGAACGATTCTACTTTGCTCAATCGGTTTCAAGAGCATCTTGCCTCTCGCTTCTCACTAAAGCAACTAGGCGAGGTGAATTATTTTTTGGGTATTGAAATCTTATCCGGTCCCTCTGGTTTTCTCCTATCCCAACAGAAGTATATATCCGATGTTCTTGACCGTTTTCAGATGGCTGATGCTAAGCCTTCTCCAACTCCGCTCTCCACATCAGCCAAACTTATGCTTCATGATGGCTCTGCCCTTATTGATGCCACAATTTGCAGGCAAGTGCTCGGTGCACTTCAGTACTTACTTTGCACTCGTCCTGATATCGCATTTGCCGTCAACAAACTATCTCAGTTCATGCATGCACCATCCCAACTTCATTGGCAGTCTGTCAAGCGTCTCTTGAGGTATCTACAGGGTACTCGTCAGCTTGCTTTACAGCTTAGACACTCCTCTTCTCTTACACTAGAAGCGTTTGCTGATTCTGATTGGGCCGGAGATCCTAATGATCGCCACTCCACCATGGGCTATCTTATTTATCTTGGAGGTAATCTTGTTTCTTGGAAGTCAAAGAAGCAACGTTCTGTTGCCCGCTCTAGCACCGAGGCTGAATATCGAGCTCTTGCCCATGCCTCCGCTGAACTTGAATGGTTGCAAAATTTATTAATTGAGCTTCATCATCGCCCTCCCAATCCTCCTGTCCTCTATTGTGATAATCTTGGTGCAGTAAACTTCTCTGCAAATCCAGTTTTCCACTCGAGGATGAAGCATTTGGCATTAGACTTCCACTTTGTGAGAGAACTTGTGCAATCTGCTCGCCTGCGCGTTTGTCAAGTCTCCACCGTTCATCAGCTAGCCGATGCTCTCACTAAACGGCTTTCAACCCCACGTTATCTTCTTCTTCGATCCAAGATTGGTGTCGTTCCCGCCTCCATCTTGCGGGGGCGTGATAGAGATATAATTTAGAAATGAACCCATATCATTCTATAGAAGAGCATGCCATCACACCATCACCATTATTTCCCTCCACCACTGCTCTGCTCTCGCCAGCTATCCATCTTCAGAGAACCATGTGATAACTTTTACTCTTCTTATCTTCTGCCAACTACACATATAACCATCCACTTATTTCACTGTCTGAATACATGTATATATATAGATAGCTTGTACTATTGTATCAACTCAACAGAAACAGATTCCATCAATAGAATTACTCTTTGCATACTTCCACACGTAGCATGTCTCCTTTGTGTGTCCGAGTTTTCGGCAGTGACTACAGCGGGGTGCCTTGTCTTGTCGTTCCTGTTTCTCTTCGGATCTGTTTGGATCCACACTATCACGGCTTTGCTTCGCCTGAAAAGCTGCAGACTCCACGACAGGCCTCCGACTTGCAGCAATAGATTTATGCGCCTCTTCGGTGGCTACCAACCGATACGCCTCACCCAGCGTAGGCGTCGGCTTCATCGACAGGACCTGAGTCTTCACCGTCGAGAAAGCGTCATCTAGTCCCATTAAAAAATCGAATAAGCGTTCGCTATCTTGATTATCCCGGACCCGCTTCTCGATATCACAAGTGCACTGACCACAAGTGCACTTCGGAATGGGAGTTATCATCTGCATCTCCTCCCATATGCTCCGCAACTTTGTGAAGAAAGTGGACACGCTAAGCTTCTCTTGGCGCAAGACACTCATCATCTGCCGCAACTCATAGGCTCTGGGCGCTGATCCTTTCCCAAACCGAGACTCCAAGTCCACCCAAATTTCTCAGGCAGTCTGAGCATATCGTATGGAATTGCGCACCTCCTTCTCCATTGAGGTCTTCAACCACCCCTTTACGAGTGCATCGCACTGTAGCCAGGCTCCCAACAACTCTCCTTCTTGCGGCTTCACGATGGTACCATCAACCATCCCTATCTTGTTCTTCGCAATAAGTGCTTCGCTCATATCGGTAACCCATTCACCATAGTTCGAGTCACTCAATAACTCTCCGACGAATAGCTGACCAGGGTTGTCAGACGGCAACATTCGCAACGCAGCTGGTATGATTGGAGGAAGCTGCGTTCCACCGCCGCTGCTGTTGACCAATTTTGTATCCACGCCGCTGCCAGTTCCGCCGCTCATCGTCGAAAATAAAGAAAACCTTAAGAGCAAATCAGCTCTGATACCATGAAAGATTCGTAACAAACGATAAGAGAACACAACACACTGTTTAACGTGGTATCCTCGTTCGATTTGAACGAGACTAATCCACGGGGAAGACAACCTTCCCAGCTCTCTTTTTATTCCTTCTCAACGCCGACTTACAGCTTACATGAAAGTGAGGGAGAGAGCAGAATATATATCGTAACCCTAGCTCAACGAAAGCTACGCAGGGCTACGGGTGTAGGAACATAAAAGAGTACAAAACTATCCCTACACCAAAACGACACAGCAGTCCCTTTATGTTAGAGAGTGGTATAAGATCCAGCATAACCTTCTCCCAACAACTCGAGTTATTGGGACTAACTGGTTTATGACATGGTATCAGAGCTGGTTTGACCAAGTGGTCGTGTGTTCGAATCTCCACGACCCCCAATATTAACAGTTGTCTTCAAGCACATGGTATGGTGGGCCTGTGCAAACTTCAAGCCCATGAGTCGGCTTTCGTTTGAGGGGGCGTGTTAGAGAGTGGTATAAGATCCAGCATAACCTTCTCCCAACAACTCGAGTTATTGGGACTAACTGGTTTATGACAACACAGGCGGCCAGCTTCAACGCAGCGAGCGAAATCGGCAGTAACTGCATGACGCCTGCTGGCTTCCTTCTTCCCCTTCGGCTTCTGGCAGCGCCGGGTTCCTTCTTCATCTTCTTCAATTCCTCCTCGAGTTGTAAATTCACAAAGGTTCTCTATAAGACTTGCGTATGCATCCCTTACGCTTCCCCGTGCTAGGTTCCTTCATGGTTTCTACCATGAATCTAAGGGATGATCAAGTAACTTGTTAGTTATATAGTAATAACATTTATAATTTTCTATAAAAAAGAAAAAGAAAAGGGGTTGTTAGTCAAATCAATAAAATATTATTAATTAACGAGTTTCTGGTTGATCCGCGCTTAAAAAAACAAAACAATCAACCCAATGTTGAATCTAATATTGACAAGTTCGGTCGACCAAGTTTTACACAATTTTGGGATTCGTGAGTTAAGTTGAGTGTAAATTTTGTTAAAAGTCAGCTTGCCTTCTTTCGGCCTGCACCCAGATAACAAAACAACAGGTTGAGCGTGGTATTGATAAAATTTGAGTCGGGAACAAGTATTGTCATCGACACCA